AAAGGGGGAGGAAGAAAGGAGGGAGGGGAGAAGGAAAAGAAGAAAAAGAAAAAGGACGGGGGAGGAGAAGGAGGGGGAGGAGGAAAAGAGGTACAAAAGGGGAAGGGGGAGGAGGAAGAGAAGGGGGGGGGAGGAAGAGGAGAAAATAATGCAATAAACACAAATGATAAGTGAGGGGAGTCTTTGTTGGTCTCAGAACTTGATAGTTTTTCTTACAGTCCTTCATTACCCAGTTAGGTAACCTCATCAGTGCTGGTCCCAAAGATGCTTTTTCAGGAGGCAACTGGCCTTTCTTGTTCGTTTGTTGTTTTTTTTCTTGCTGACTGTATGGTGGGAATGGAAGTCAGAGCTGAAGAAGCTTCTCGGATGAGAAGCGAAACATCTTCAAGGAAAAAAAAAACAGTCCAGTTGCTTCTTGAAAAAGCACCTTTGGGACAACCGTGACCTGGATGACTGAGAAACTCCATAGACTTTTAGCTATACAATCTGGGATGAACACCCTTTGAAGTGTGGGAGTATGAATGGATTTCCAGAGAAGAAAAAAACAAAATTGAAGATTACAGGGACCATTAGCACTACTCAGGTGACCCTGAGGACACAGATAAACCTCCAAGTGGCCTCAACAACTCTCTAAGGATGCAAACGACCACCTGTCTGCAAGGAATATAAACCTGTCCATTCCCAACTATCCAGTCAGAGCTGAAGAAACTTCTGGGATGAGAAGCGAAACGTCTTCAAAGTCCAGTTGCCTCCTGACACACCTGGGTGACTGAGAATCTCTAGACTCTTATTAGTGATACTGTGCGTAGTAGTTAGCACTGATGATGTTATCTAGTTGGGTAATGAAACATCTGTAAGAAAGAACCAAGCTCAGATAGCATCAAGGACGCCTCATATCAAGTCTATAAATGCCATTGAAGGGATGGGGAACTTCATATGGTGTAATAGATCTCAAATGGAAAGTTTCCCAACCTCTTAGCTGCATGGAGTAGGAGGGGGAGGGATTTGCAGTCTATCCTCATTGCCCATAATCAAGTGCAGCGGTTGTGAGTGCACAATTGAGCCTCGACCGTGTCATTTCGTAAAACATGCCTGTTTTAGTAGTTGCCATAAAAAAGGGGCGAGGAAGGAAATCTGGAAAGGAAGTGCAGCAATTTGAAAGCAAAAGTACATTCCAACTTTTATCTTCAAAAAATACTAAGAGTTTTTGCCCGCAAATATATTTAATTGGGGAAGGTGAATGATGACACCCCGCCTGTGAACTATTCAATTGGACAATCAGGTTTATGTCATGCCCCTGTCGGAATCTGATTTGGAGGGAGAGGCCAAGCAGCTGACAGGGAATGGGAGTGTGGCTCCTTTGGCTGTGGAAGAAACTGGGGAAGGGCAAAGTCCAGCTGGGCAGAGCAAGGGAGAGGAAATTTGGAGGAAGACCCAGGCCCACCCCTTCTTCATCCTAGGGCATGCAGGGAGGAATGGAGAAGGGAGCAATGTAAGTTGTGTGGCTTATGGGGCAGGAAAGGGCCCTGATGCCTTTCATTAGCTGCAGCTGGGAACTGTATAAAAAAGAAAGCAACTTGTTGGAAGCAAATCGTGAGTTATCTGTTATTGTCCAGGCTTATCTGGGTTCCTGGCATCTTTCCAACTGTGTGTTTTGCTGTGCTTTCAAGTCTGCAATTCCTTCTCTTGCCCTGTCAAGTTAATTACTGCAGCGTGGTTTGTTTGGATTTTTAGTTTTACAGTTTGTACGTACTTCGTTTTCGGACTGAATTTCCTCCACTTAAAAGACTGTTCTTGGGAGAGTTTTTTCTCCAACCGAAGGTAACCTAGACATTGGGGGCAAAGCTGGAGATAATAAAGGGACTTTTCTTGCTTATTTGATTCTGTTGCCTTTGTGCCATGTCCTGAGTCATCACAGTTTATGAAACACCCAGGGGGGAGGGGGGGGAAACAGGGTCACAGGTGACTCTAAATTAAGTATGCCAGAGTTGGTTTCATACAGGGCAGTGCCAGTATGTTGCCTCTAATGAATCCTTTGAAGGTTTTTTTGAGGGGGGAAAGCCCAAGTAACCACCAAACGACAACAATTGAAATTGCCCCGACCACAACCGGCAAAACCAACCCTCAAGCGACCTAACCACAAAACTCAAAAGGAAACTACTAGCAGACTTCTGGTTCTGGACAATCAACACATCTTGACAAAAAGAGATGACCTAGCGTGGAAGGGGACGAAACTCTACAAACCAGAATCCCTATGCACACTAGTCCTCCAGAGGAGCCAAGGACATCAAACCAGCAGGCCACTTCAGGTTCTTAAAGACTTTGCACTTAGCATGGAGGCAGTTCTGGTGGCCCAGCATAAAGAAAGACATGGACAGTTATGTGAAGAGTTGTACCATCTGCGCCTCAATGAACAAACAACCAGGAAAACGGCCGGTAGCAGACACAACAAGGCCATGGAAGGAGATCGCAATGGACTTCACAGTGGAGCTGCCAAAAAGTGGACAGAACACGGTGATCTGGACTGTAATAGGCTTATTCTCCGAACAGGCGCACTTCATACCTTTCAGCAGACTACCCTCAGCCCACCAGTTAGCCAAGCTGTTTTTGAAACACATCTACCACCTGCATGGAGTACCACGAAGAATTATCTCAGACAGAGGGGTCCAGTTCATGGCTAAGTTCCGGAGAGAGTTCCTGCGGTCTATTGGGTCATCCCAGGGCCTTAATTCGGCCTTTCATCCAAGCACCAACGGGGGAACAGAGAGACTGAATGCCATGGTAGAGAGGACTTGAGGTGCTATGTGAATTATCAGCAGCCCAATTGGATGGACCTCCTGCCTTTCGTGGAGGTTGTGCACAATAATGCTGTTCACAGTAGCACGGGACTAACCCCCTTCAGAGTAGTGAGTGGTATGGTCTTCATCCCAATAGCTGAATATCCAAGGGGTTCCCCCCCCCCGCCCCATAAGTTAGCATGACCAATTGGATGACAACGCTGAAAGCAACTTGGGAGAATGTTAAGAAAAGCGCTAGCTAAAGCAGCACAGTCCTATAAAAAACAGGCAGACAAACACTGAGCCCCGCAGCAGCCATTCCAGGTTGGGGACAAGATCTACCTCTCCACAAAATATCTGAGGCTAAAACTCCCTAGCAAGAAAGTGGGGCCGAAGTTTATGGGACCATTTCCCCATAGTAAAGGTTATCAAGATTACCAGTCACGGTGCAGTTGAAATTACTCCGATTGCTAGGGAAGATGCGTCCAGTATTCCATAGTAGCCTCTTAAAGCCTGTGGTCGGATCGACCCCGAGGCCCTGCCTCGTGAGTCCTCAGACCCCGTGGTCATAGGAGGCCAAACCCAGGTGCAGCAAATCCTTGATTCGAGGTGGCAACTCCAAATACTTAATCAAGCAGAAGGGCTTCTCATTATCAGGTAATAAATTGGCTCCCACTTCTTTGTGGCAACCCTTTAGCTCTTGGAACACAGCTATCATGTCACCGTTTAGAACTTTAGAGGTAGAGTAGAATAGGGAGAGTGATAGAATAGGGATAGAAATAGAGTAGGTAGAGTAGGATTAGAATTAGAATTAGAAATAGAAATAGAAATAGAATAGAATAGAATAGAATAGAATAGAATAGAATAGAATAGAATAGAATAGAATAGTTGGAAGGGACCTTGGAGGTCTTCTAGTCCAACACTCTGCTCAGGCAGCAAACCTTATACTATTTCAGACAAATGGTTGCCCAATCTCTTTTTAAAAACTTCCAGTGTTGGAGCATTCATAATTTCTGCAGGCAACTTGTTCCACTGATGAATTGTTCTAACTGTCAGGAAATTCCTCCTTAGTTCTAGGTTGCTTCTCTCCTTGATTAGTTTCCATCTGTTGCTTCTTATCCTGCCTTCTGGTGCTCTGGACTAGGTTGACACCCCCCCCCGCTTCTTTGTGGCAGCCCCTTAGATATTGGAGCACAGCTATCATGTCATCCCTGGTCCTTCTGTTCATTAAACCAGACATATTCAATACCTGCAACCAACCGTTCTTCATATGTTTTTGCCTTCAGTAACCCAAAGTCTAAGCAGAAAAACAGATAACATTAACAGGTGCCGGCCTAAAAACTAGGAAACTGAGTTCTGATCCCATTTTAGGCTTGAAAGCTGGCTGCGTGACTTTGGGCCAGTCATAGTTTCTCAGTCTAGCCCACCTCACAAGGGGGTTGTAAGGAAACTAGGAAAAGGAAGGAGTATTAGGTATGTTCATAGCCCTGAGAAGGGTGGGGTAAATATCTACTAATAAAAAAAATTAAGTACAGTTAATCCTTGACTTACAACCATTCATTTAGTGACTGTTCGAAGTTACAAAGGCCCTGAAAAAAGTGACATAACTCTTTTTCACACAAGTATTCCAGCATTCCCAGGGTCATGTGATCAATATTGGGATGCTTGGCAAGCGACTCATATTTATGACAGGATCGAATGATCCCCATTTGCGACCTTCTGACAAGGAAAATCAATGGGGAAAATTGGATTTGCTTAACAAATATGTTACTAACTTAACTGCAGTGATTCACTTAACGGGGGCAAGAAAGGTCGTAAAATGAAGCAAAACTCACTTAACAACTCTCGCTTATCAACAGAAATTTTGGGCTCAGTTGTGGTCGTAAGGCAAGGACTATAATTATTTTAAGGTATTGTGATCTGTCTGGCTACTCACCAAACCTTC